CCGGGTTTCGATCCCCGGCCGCGTCATACCAAAAGACGTTAAAAGATGGTACTTGTTGTTACCCTGTCTGGCGCTCGGCATTAAGGGGCTAAAACAAGGACTGGTCGGCTCGGAGTCAGTATACTTTGTCTGAGTGGGGTATTCATGTTAAACTGCGGCATGGTATCTCAGTGAGCTAGCACTATAAATCGGCATCAGTCCGGACTAGTACAAGCAGCCACACAAACACACAAACACACACACGTACATGCACGTCGCTATATAAGTGCAATAACCTTGGGCGCGACGTTAAACCCAATTTCACCACCATCACTTGTATTAAACAGGTTAAATAAGTCTAAAGATGAAAGGTGTGATTGACAATGTGTGTTTAGTATTCATATGTGAGTTTGGTTTAACGCCGCTTTAAACAGTTTCAGATATATCAAGGCGTGTCAGCTCAATGTGGGAGGAAAGCCCAAGGTGTGCAGGCCTTAGTACCACTTTGTCGAGACCCAGTATCAGAAATTTGTGGCGTGCCAAAGGGGCGCAAGTCTGCATGGCGAATAGCGGCGCCATAGACGACTGGGCACAGGAAATCAAAGATCACGAAATCAATATGGACTACCCTGGGATAAAGTGCGATTTATCTTTTGTTTATTTCGGAAAGTTACTGTGACTCAAAGCACTCGTGTGTGGGTCACCTTTGTAAACCGTTGCTGATTACTGATTAAGTGAGGATTGAACAACAGAAGTATACAAGCACAGTGCACTTCGTCCACCACTAGAGAAATGAAGATTGTGCAAAAATGCCTGATTTGCCTGACTAAATACACTTAATTATTCAAACCCAGAAGATTTGAATAGTCTTGTTTGTGGAAAAATACAAAGACATGCAAAGTGTGCAAGGTTTGAAAGGGAGAAAAGTTATACTTTGCATTCAGAAGTCTTTAGTAGATACTCTTGGTCCTGAACTATTTTTTAGAATATTTGACGTGAATGTAATTTCAATATTGCTTTATGGATCAGAGGTATGGGGGTCGATCAAACGATAAAATGGAAACTGCACATATCACTGAGAAAAAAAGTCTTGTGAATTCTAGTTGCTTAATATTTTTTGTTTGTTTGTTTGTTGTTTAACGCCGCACTCAGCTTAATAAGTAACAGCGGCAAGAATATTAATAAATCGCGAATTTCTATCCTGTCTGGTAGATTTCACGAAGATGCTGAAGATAAGTGATAGTAAATATCACTTATTTAATTAGTATAATTCACTTGTTAAACCACACTGTCAAAATGTGTCAAGAATGTAAACACATACAAGACATATTCAGGAACAGTAAGCACAATTTCTGTGTTCTGTCTAAACACATTTAGGGTCTTAAGCACACGAAGTGAGCTATCGCCACAAAGCAAAAATACGACCTAGACACAATATCCTCATAATCCAAACATGTTTAGAATTTAAACACCTTTAAACATGTTTAATAATGTGCATATCATCAGGCTTAAAGTCAAATATGGATGAGATGTAAACTATATATTGAAATAAGATGTACAAATCAGTTTCACAGGCACTTGCTTAACACATATACCACCAGGACGTACAACGAACTTGGTACGATATTTTGATATTAATGAACACATGAACAAAGCTAAGGGTGACTAGGAAAACTGACAATTGTGACTACAAATCAAGAGGTTGCAGGTTCGAATCCCACCGATGTTTAAAATTCCTTGTGTTCATCAATGTGTTGTTGCTGTATACTAATAGTATTTTTCTAATACAGTAGTGAGTGAGTTGGGTGTAACGCGGCTTTTAACTGTATTCCAGTTATATCACGGCGTGTCAGCTTATTGTGGGAGGAAAGCCCGAAGTGATGCAGGTCTCAGACGTTTACCACCTCGCTGAAAGCCACGAGAACGGGTATGGTGCTGACAAATCTGGAAACATAATCAGGGCGAACCGGGATTCGAACCAACAATCAAAGGCTTCTGCCCAAGGGACGCAACTCTGCACAGCGAATCGCGGCGCCTTAGACGACTGGGCCACCCGTGCAGTGAACCTGACAGTGAAAGTATGTATCTGATTACTACTTAACCCATTTAGTAAGGGACGATAGGCCACATTGTGAAAATAGTACTAAGTTATGACTCAGAGGAAAGTCCCCCAACATTTCAGTGCGGAGTGGAAAATGAAATTCACCAAGTTAAACTAAGTAAACTTTCAAAACTATTTCTGTCAGTGGATTGGGTTGGCTTAGGGCTGATCTTAGATGTTTACCACTTTAGTGAAACCAAACCGTATGATGCAGACAAACCTGGATATATTATCACGAGGAAACGGGATTCGAACCATCAACCATTGAGACGCTTAAGTGACACTCTGCACAACAACTTGCCGCGCATTAGACGACTGGGCCACCCGTACCCTCACAGAAATTGACGATTTCACTGATATTCCAGCAATAAATCGAAGTGTTTTGAACACAGTATGTCATTCACCTGCAGCGAAGTATCTCACTAATTAGCCAGTAAAGAAAATGTTCTTTTGAAAAATTAATTTATCTCCATACCTTTGATCAACCATCACCTATACCAGCTTCTCGGGCCGTGGGCTGCCGGTTTGGAATAGGTTCTCTCTTCCACACGATTGTTGTCATTAGGTACCAGAATGAGGGAAAATGCGGTTTAACCTCGCGTTCAAGAATATTGCACTTGCATAACAACGACCAGAAAGACAATCGGGTATAGTGAATTATGGCCAATCACGCCGTCTCCCATAGCAAATATTCAGGAAGATACAGCAGTGTTCCTTCAGGACGGTACGACAGTGTTTCTTTATTGGGGCGATCGATCAGCTGTTCAGTTACAGATTGTCAATGCTAGTTTATGACTGCACATACTCGAAGTATTTTACCAGTCAACACTGTTATGAGTGATAACGAATTGGCTCATCTCAACATGCAGAATTACAACTACGCTATGAGTAGAGCGTTTAATGACATGTATAAGATCTTTGCACTTATACAGCGATTTACATGTGTGTTTGTGTGTGTGTGCGTGTGTGGCTGCTTGTACTCGTCCAGACTAATACCGGTTTTATACAAATACCAATCTCAGACTCCGAGCCGATCAGTCCTTGTTTTATCCCCTTAATGCCGATTTCTGGGAAACAAATCTTTCACAATCTTTGAACGTCTTTTTGTTTGACTCGAACCCGCGACCTTCCGCTCTCTGGACAGACGCACTATCCACCCTACCATGGAGGCTGTCTGCTACCTCCATGCTACAATATGGCTGCTTTAGCTAGAGATGTGTGAAGATCTGGTCTAAACTTAATGCGTATGAAGTAAATAATTTAAAGTAAATATTGACCTGTTTATCATGTCACTAACCCACTGTGGAATCTCCCAACCCCACATCATGCTTTTAGGAGGCGGTGGGGTAGTCTAGTGGTTAAAGCGGTGGCTCGTCACGACGAAGTGAGTGAGTTAAAGTTTAACGTCACGTCGGCAATATTTTAGCCATGTCTCGTCACGGCAAAGAACCACACAGGTCAGTGAGTGAAGCCCATTTCTTGTGACCCCCGACGTGATATTGCTGAAATATTGTTAAAAGTGGCTTAAATCCATATGCAATTACTTACTTGTGATGCAGTTGAGTGAATTCGAAGTTGAATATCGCTATCTCGAACTAGTGGAAAGATGATAAATTACATTTTCAACACCTGTATAATCGAGTTAATGGGACATCAATCACCGACAATACCAAAAGGTAAATATTTCATTTCATAAACAATTCATTAAGATGAAGGTAGAATTGACTTTTATTAAGTGTCCGATCTGAAGCTCAGAGTTTCAGCAATCTACATGTATATCAGAACGTTATATCGAGTGAGTGAGTGAGTGAGTTCGGTTTTACGCCGCTTTTTAGCAATATTCCAGCAATATCACGGCGGGGGACGCCAGAGTTATATCGAAGCATATTGTGCAAATGTTATGCGTCGCTATATCGTTTCGTCAGCGAAAGATGACAATTTCGATACTACTGACCTTCAATTATTGCAGGCCGAGCACTAATTTGGGACACGTGGTCCTAATTGCCAACTGATGAATATCCTGTGAGTCTGAATGTCGGCTTTACGGAGCAAAAAACCCTGTAAAGACATCACGCACATTTTTGGGGGAAATACTTTATTTTCAACAACAAATTGACAAATATCGCTATGTTACACAATGAGATCTTGTTGACAGGTGGGATTATGTTACAAGTTTAAGTATTTGTGCCACACGTGAGGTTTAAGAACAAATAGCATGAAGGAATCAAAATCTGGAAGAGAGAAAATACGGAATGCCTGTGGGGACAAAAGTGCTCCATGCTGAGCGTTCAATGACAAGAAATAAACACTTGTTGGATTGTCCAGTGATTTGTGGCTCAACCTGTTTTATGTCCAGGAGGGCTGTGGTATTTGGATGAACATTTTGGAGGCTTGCATCTAACGGTTCACACTGGTTGATACTAATCACGAATAATATAATGTTTATGTCAGATCATGAATTCAACGATGTTGATGATAGATCATGAATTTAGCTTAGTTTGTGTTAGGTAATGAATACAACGTTGTTTATGAAAGATCATGAATAAAACATAATCTATGCAAGATCGTGAATACAACAAAAACACAGTGTGCAGACCGGGTAGGCGTTTGATTTGTGCTCGAAGCATTGAACCTGCATTAAAGCACTCACCTGCATTAAAGCACTCACTAAACAATACATCATCGACATAACAACAGCAGATATGTTGTTTCTTCCTGCCTCATCAACAACAAAACGTCAATAATATAATACTTAAAATTTAAGTAAAAGGGTTAGAGTTCTTGCAGTATGTAACGCAACGATAACGTTGTTCTAAAAAACGGGATAAATAATTTGCATATTTTAAATATAAAGTTTATCACATGGGTTGGGGTTGTTAATAAATGTAATTCACAAACAATGCGAGTTTTTTTCCTAAAATTTGATTGATAAAGAACACAACTTAAATTCAGTATTGAAAGATACAAACAACATGAATTTCACTTTGACAAACACGAATCACAGCTTGTAGGGTAATAAGTTTAATATTGCACATGGCCCAGCCTTCATCACGTGACCAAAGAAGGAGATAATAACCGATAACATAGATATCGATTTTGTAAGGATTTTAACAAAAAAACAAAAAAAAACAATGGAGAATACCATGAATAAGTGGTAGATTTTCAATCTAAATCCCTTTGCCATAATGTTGTATTTCTTTCAAGGTAATTGAATTGAATTTGCATTGTGTTCAAATGATTCATGACTGGTATACTACACAAGAGCCCTATAAACGTTTGGAACATATTCAGATTCCCCCGAATAGCTACACTGATTCATAGATAATGTTGGGACGTTGTTCAATAACTGTTAAATAGATGGATACACGATTCCAGCTTTTTAATTCTACTAAAAGCTGACCTTTTGTTGTGATACTGTTCTTTAATAGCCATACAGATGGTGTATCCTCATTTTTTGGACAGTATCCTACTTGTTTGTTACTGGATATTTACATTTTAATTTAGGTGCTCCCTAGTATTAGATTACATCAGCAAATGTACTAAGGAAGATAACTTCTCTGACAAGGTATAACACCTGCTGATGATTTTATTCATCACTGCCCGTGTTGGCATTTTTAACATATAATACTGTTGCCATAAGCCTGATTCACGTGCGTCTTACCGGTCTGTGTTAATTAATAAATGTAAACATAAAATTGCATCCATTGCGGTCAGAAGAGCTGTTGCGCAGGACCGGAAGTCAGCACTAAGACTGAGCAAGTTGTGCTTCCTTTTCTACTGGTGCTTGTACTTAATGACAGGCGACTTTTTGGCAACAACTCTCATTTTCTGGCCATGGAAATATGGGTTTGGAAGAGACTCCCCAGCCGACTGAAAAAGAATAGAAGAATAATAGAAGACGGCGCCTGACTCTGTCACGTGGTATGAAACAAGGCTGTTGATTTGTCATCTCTTCTTACATTTTGGAAAACTGAAGCAGAGATAATAATCTTTTAATAAAGATTTTACTGACGAAAGGTTAGTGAAGTGACATTTGAGATGTGATTCTCATTTATCAACTAAACTATGTATGTGAAACTTACACTGACGCATTGTACATGTAGCAACATCTTGAAGACACACACGAATGTACTAATTCATTTTGTTTTGTGGCAGTGGAGGTAGTTGTACGTATATTTGTTGTGATTATGAATGCAAATGATTGAAGCGTTCGAAAAAATTTCTAGGGCCTGCGGCAGCGGCCCAAAAATAAAATTTAGTTACTTCTTGTGGATGGTCTAAGACAACCATGACAGGCTTAATCGTTGAAGAAGTTTCGGATTGAGAAGGTTTCTAGAAGGGTGGCTGTACGAAGGGACTTTGGGCTCTTATGGGCGTCTTATGTACATGCCAAGTGCGGATTTGATTCCTATCAGAAAACACCGCGTTTATGTCAGATTTCAGGATACAGGCGACCCGTGAAGATCCAGGGTAGAATAGGTCTTCAGCAACCTATGCTTGCCGTAAAAGGCGACTATGCTTGTCGTAAGAGGCGACTAACGGGATAGGGTGGTCAGGCTCGCTGACTGAGTTGATGCATGTCATCGATCCCAATTGCGTGGATCGATGCTCGTGATATTAATCACTGGATTGTCTGGTCCAGACTCGATTATTTATAGGCCGCCGCCATATACTGTAATATTGCTAAGTGCGGCGTTAAACAACAAACAAACCAGCCAAATCAGGATACAGGCCTGTTTCAAGACATTCAAAAGTGACAAATTTCTGAACATTCGTGAGTGAACTATCATTAATAACAGGGCCAGATACTTGCTGCCGCTGCCACGTGTTTGACCCATTGTTTGATTGTAAGTCTATCACTGTGTTTCAATATAGGGTATTGATTATTAATTGAACTTGTGTGTACATTACTGTTTCAACAAATTAGTTCTGTGGTTACCGCTGTCTGGATTAACCTCTGCGTTTTAAATTCGAAATTACCTTCTAATTATATTCTTCTAATGAGTATAGTGTTATTAGTTAGTACTCATGCTTAGCAGCATCACATTAACACTCACGAAGCACTGCCGCATTAAGTATAGCCTCTGTTTGGACATGCTATTTGTGGTTATTGATAAATGCCCGTGGTTCAAATGTTCTGACCCTAGGTCATTCTTGGACAGAAAGTCTTTCCTGACGTAACTTACTCTTTTATTCCGGCTGAGCTCGGGCGACTTCTTGGCCACGAGTGACTCTCTCTTGGACTCATCAGGCATGAAGGAGTTCTGGAAGAAAAGGGCAGGTTACTATAAGATTGAAAACATTGAAAAAATGTGTCTACCTGTCAACTAATTTAATTCCAAAGACCTTCGATGGTGGTTGAATTAACTCCTAATGTCGCCACCATTTCGAAGGGTTGGGACCTGCTGGTTGGTTAAAGGATTTGGGACCTGCTGGTTGGTTAAAGGGGTGTTGAACAGTATTTCAGTGATATCACGGCTGGTGGAAGGGAAGTCCGACGTGACCCACGTCATGGACGTTACAACCTAGGTCAACCTATGATCAACCCTATATCATAAATAGGGAGAATCTGAATCCTGGAACGACGAAGAGACGCAACTCTTCAGATTGGAGATTCACACAGACAAAAGAAAATTGATATGGGATGATATAAGCCCGGACGATATCATCCTCTATACATCCAGCCCTCGCATGTCAGTAAACCTTCCCTAACTCCCGGATCCATTCCCGTTTTCGCAATCTTAAATTACCTGATTTCTAGTTGCCAAGTTCATGGGCTACGCTACTAGGTCTAATGTACCAATCATAATGCGAGTTACACACCAGCCTCAATGTTGGGTTGGCCAGTCCCATTGATTATGATCGAGTTTGCGAGAAATGAGAAGGGTGTCTTCGTGTCCATTAAAACCGGCGGCGGCTTTGGTTTTTAGGTAATACGAGTTACCTCCCTTAACCTTTCCCTGTCCCTTATGTCGGCGTTTGATTGATCGGCAAAATGTTATTGAAAATCAAGAATGGGTGATTTGCGATCTCAAGAACAAGGGTAATGGATCCAGTAGTTTTAACGAAATGCTTGCCCTGGACATATAGAGGATGGGTGACATCACCAAGTACACTATACTTACTAAATCAGAGGCTCCGAGTGTGTTGAGTTCGGCCATGACCTGCTTGATTGCGGCGCTGTCACCCTGGGATTTGCTGCTGACGGTGCCCCGACCTTCGGGACAGGCGAACATGTGCTCTGTGTCACACGGGCAGTCCTGCTTCGCCATCAGCTCACGGTTGTAATCAGCGGTGTTGTTGAAGTGCTCAACGCAGTTGTTGTCTCTAGCTACAACATCACGCACGACGATGGTGAGATAGGGAAGATGTGTAAATATCGGAATAACAGCTTCTTGCTTGTTTCTTTCTTATTTAATATATTACAGAATGTTTTGATATTGTGGGATTTGCAGTAGGGGAGGGAGAGAGATTTGTACGCGCCGATCTATCAGACGGGGCAGGGATAAGGTAGGCTGTACTTTGTGGGTGGGGGGTGGGGTGGGGTGGGGCGGGTTGGGGAGCGGGTAGTAGGCGGAACTCATCGTTGTATCCGATAGGGCAGGGATCAGGTAAGTTGTATTGGTTCGGGGTGGGAGTGGGGGTGGGGGTGGGGGTGGGGGTGGAGTAGGCGGTACTCGCCGTTGTATCTGATGGTGCAGGGGAAAGGTGGGTCGCAGTTAGGATGGGGAGTGGGGTGGGTGGGCTGGGGTGGGGAGGGGCTTGTAGGCGGAACTCATCGTTGTATCCGATAGGGCAGGGATCAGGTAAGTTGTAATGGGTGGTGTTGGGGTGGGATGGAGTAGGCGGTACTCGCCGTTGTATCTGATGGTGCAGGGGTTAGGTGGGTCGCAGCGGAACTCACCATTGTATCCGATAGGGCAGGGATCAGGTAAATTGTAGTGGGTTGGTGGAGGGGGTGGGGGTGGAGTAGGCGGAACTCACCATTGTATCCGATGGGGCAGGGGTTAGGTGGGTTGCAGTAGGCTGGGAGAGGTTTGTCCGTCTTGGCTTTACCTCCAGCTGCTCCACCTGCAATAAATTATAAATTATCACTTACTTTACAAGAAGGACTTTCTTGAAAAAATCTGACGATGATTGTTTTGTTCTTCCTGCAGACAATAAGTCTTTTTTGAGGGGTGGGGGGCTAATTTCTTTATTGTAAGTTGGTTGGTTGGTTGTTTAACGCCGCACTCAGCAATATTCCAGCTATATGACGGCGGTCTGTAAATAATCTAGTCTGGACCAGACAATCCAGTGATTAATATCATGAGCATCGAGCAACGCAATTGGGATTGATGACGTGCATCAACCAAGTCAGCGAGCCTGACCCCACCCGATCCCGTTAGTCGCCTCTTACGACAAGCATAGTCGCCTTTTACGGCAAGCATGGGTTGCTGAAGACCTATTCTACCCCGGAATCTTCACGGGTCTTTTTTTATTTTAAGAAGTTATTTAACACATGATTACTTTGTGTGTTGGGATATGACCGGGTTGAAATCGGTGACTTAATTTTTACATGTCTGTTGTTGTGCTACGAGGATCTTCACTACCAAGTGGTTTCAATGCATTCTTCCTACTACACGTTACAGGAAAATACCAACACTAACATAATTCTGAATAACCTTTAACATTAAAAACAGGCCCTAAGGCTCTCACCTGTTATAGACTGAGATCCAAACAGAGAGCTCTGTTCAATGTGTTCCTGCTCACGGAGATGCGTGCCCTCAAACTGGGGGTCCTTGTACATTGCGTCACCGTAAGTGGCGGCCCAGTCACCGCTGCGGCTGTCAATATCGTCACCAGTGTAATCGTCGAAGTTGTTGAGGTTCTGCATGCGGTAGAGGCGGGCCAGGTCGACAAGGGTGTCATAAGAACGGTCGAGGGAGAACTCGGCTACACTGAGGGTCACGGCCGTTGCCAGCACGAGAAACAGCTTCATCATGGTTGGCTGGATGAGAATAATAATAACAATAATGATGAATATAAGATGATGATAATGATAAAAACTAATGACTACCACTTCGACGACAACGACAACGTTATGATGATTTCAGATCACATATGCCATCATAACTGGAAATGACTAGTTTGGAGGTCATGGGAATGTTTTTCAAATTGGTATGAACGTTATCAGACATGTTGTAAAAGTAAAAGAAAAATACTTCCCGAATACCCCTTTGATATTTGTAATGTTATTGAACTGGGCCTCAGTATGAATATTTATAAAACAATTACAAACCCTTACCTTCGAAATTTTCGCCGTAATAGAGGTTCAAATAGAGTTACCCTTCGAGCATTATGAAATCCATTGAAGGTTACCTATCACACATTTTGAATAAGGATCTCATGTATCACAAATGCGGTGCAATGGATATTAATGGCTCAAATGGCCATTCTACACCATTACCCTACATCCCGTCACATAGAAATGTCACAAGACAAACATCCCAAGCGTTGCTTGAAGAAACGCAAAGAGCAAGGGTGATACTGTTATTGATGTGTACGGTCCACAGGCACTGAGCAATGAGTTGATTAGTCCTGTTAACGATTCCTTGAAATAGGAGCGCTCTCTTCTTCATCCCGGCCATACGCCAGGGACACAACCGTGCAATGAGAGTAAACAGGTCGGAAGATTGTGCGCGTCGCATAATTACACCCACCAGTTCTTGACTATAAACCAGACTGAAATTCTGATTGTTTGGATCCAGGAGACTCCCTGGAATGCTTTGTTTTATAGGCAAATTGTTCGTTCGTCTTGTCGTCGGAGGCGGTGGGCGAATCCTTGAAACAATATTGAAATTACAAAGCGACAAAAAACATTTCCAAAATGTCTACAAAAAGCAGAGTCAGTTGTATGATTCATACTGAACTGACGGCCAAAAGAATCTTTACCATAGTTTTAAATCGCTAAAAGATAGATGCATGAAGCAAAATGTATAAGAAGGATCAAACACTCAACGAAATCAACATTTAATATGACAGGCATACAGCATCCGATATTGGCAAGACATTGAGTTGGGGTAGCAAAAACAAGCTTTCAACGTAAGGGACAAAGGGCAAACACTTCTAAAATCGCTTAAGTTCAATGACAAGTCACATTGATAGCGTGTAGTATGAGCCCATGCCCATCTCAATGACGATGATGTTTGGGCTGTCAATAACTGTCCCCTGTAAGGTCTGTAGAGTCCTGAGCCTTGAGTTGCCCGGCCAATGTCTGTCGACTAACTATATGCCCTAAGGCATTCGTCGCTGATGACATCTGGAGATGCAAAGTACGCTAGTACTGGTTTTCATTGGGTGTAGTTACCCTGGGTCTTAGCCTATCTGATGTCTGCCCTGTCAGCAACAAGGGAGCAACCAAAAGTTCGAGCAATGTGGGCATGGGTGGCTCCAGTCATATCCGGGGCCCGCTCGCGTTGTTCGGATGTCAGTCGTGGATTTCTGGTGGCTTTTGATCAGTGTGACTGTCTGACATGTCGTCCGTATCATTTGTATACCCTTATTGCACGTCTAGTTTCGGCTGCCAAAGCGGCACGTGTTTTTCGCATTCTCTACAAGAAATACGTGTCATGGACGTGCATCACTTTCTGCATAAAGCATTGTTGTGTTTTGACAATGTGTTTTGATTTGATTTAGTTTGAACTTGGGTTTTTAAATTTTTGCAATTTCATTTTTAAAGTCACTGGTAAAGTTCTTGTGTCCGTCCGTTTATATGATGTGCTTATGAATGAATATCGCGAAGATCCGGTATTATAACTAATTGATGATTAGACATAAACATATGTTTAAGATATGGTTGGAATCGTACAATTGATTCTGCTTTAACAAGAATTTCACTACGATTATGTGTTTTGTTGCTTCTATATTTAGATTCATCAGTTTAACCTTTGAAATTGATCACCGCACCGCTGCAATCATTGGAACTTTCTATATTCTGGTACATATTATACAATATCTTTTAACTAAAGCATTTATCCATGACAAGCTTATGACATAAAAACATGACAAAATTATGCAAATTAGATATGCAAATTAGATAACCGGAATTGGGACCTTTTTCGCTGGTGCACGTGAGCAGGTGTTCACAAACAATATGGATACCTTTGATGTTTGATGTTGGAGACAAAGTTTTAATAGATCAAAGGGGGAGTGCTACAGTGATACCAGTGTTGCCAAATGGATATTTAAGGTTAACGGCTGATGGTACCGAAATTGAATTTGACTGTGATGAAAGCAGATTATCAAAAATTCCCAGTGATCAACGTTTCGTCATCGAAACACCATCGTCGAACAAGGCGAAGCACACGACGAACACAAAGCCTAAAGATCTCCAAGGAAGATTTGTCGCTGTTGAGGACGGCATGATCGATGGCGTGATGCCAGACAATCAAATCAAATATTGCAGATAACCATATTAACCCTGACCAGGAGAAGTAAATATCCAACATGTTTTCGCGAAAAACTCCATCCCACACTGTGACATCCCAGTTTGTTGATGATATTCCTGTCATGCAGAGCGACCCCTCGCGTTATGTCCAAATCGTCAGTAGACAACACAGTCAGCGGTCTCAAATTATGCATGTTATACTATGTTTGCTGGTGGAAACATAACGATTAATCTCGTTAAACATGCACGCCCGATGCCAGTCAAAAGACGCCGGATTGTCATTGAAAGTGACAGTAACAAGAGTTAAGAGGTTGTTTACCTTGGTTTCACGGTAACTTTACACGGCAACGGAAAACATGTATCACTGCGCACTAAGATTTCGACAAGTTACTAAAGTTAATTTTAATGCATGTATGTCTTCAAAGGGAAACAATGATTTAAAAATTATAAAAAGAATTCATCACTCGTGTTTTTTGAATATGGGAAATATCATCCTCGTCCCGTTAACCGATTAACTAAGACTCAGTTAAAAAAACACTCGTGATGGATACTCTCTATGTATTAGAGGACCTGATGTTATTATATATTGAGTATAAATATATGTTAAGCTTATACGCATATGACGCAGTTCAATCGAGGTACTGAAGTTAGTGAAAACTATATTACTATTTGAAAGAGGAATTACCTGATACTGACTTCTTTGTTTGTGGCGATTTCATCGGTCGCACGGGTGTTGAACTTGATTATATTTACCTTGACGCTGCTGATTACCTCCCCTTAGAAGATACCGTGTATGTTAAAGTTGAAGCTCCACCTTTGTATCCGAATCGTATAAACAAAGACAGTGGTTTTAACAATTGTGGTAGAGAACTTCTAGATCTGTGTAAAACATTTATAGATGTAGACACAAATGGATTAAAAGTAAAGCCAAGTTATATATCTTTTAAATATATTTAGAAAATATTCATCCTCAGAAAATGATGGATGTTATAACAAACCAAAGACTGCATTCCGTAAACTTTGTAAACAAAAACAACTACAACACAAGAGGGTAGTCATCGATGAACTCCATCAGGCAGCAAGGAACAGTGACTGTACAGCATTTTGGCATCTTGTAATATTTATCCTCTCGGTCACAGGAACCTAGTATAAGCCCTTCTTCTTGGTTAGATTATTGTAAGGAATTCTTAAATGATAATTGTCTTTGTCAAGACGAAATTTTATCAAGTGACTTTACAGAACAAGATGTAATAAATGCAAAAAGAAATCTTTAGAGCAATAAATGCCCAGCTGGGGATGATAATAACTTCTGAATTCTATTAAGCTGCTGAAGATTCCCTGATTCCTGGTGACTACCCAGAATCGTGGAGCCACGCAATAATATTACCATTACAAAAGAAAGGTTCCGTCAATGATCCTGATAACGTTCGAGGTATTTCCATTCTCCGTGTTTTGAGTAAAATGTTTGCATATATTTTTAACATGACGTTTAGATTTGTTTCTTGATGTACATGGATTGATTGATGAATATCAAAGAGGAATTAAAAAGGTTCACTCGACTATCGATAGCACTTTTATCCGATACAAAAGTATGTATGAAAATGTAAAGCTACTGTAACATATAATCATGGTAAGAAACAAAGAAAGAGTTCTTGTGGTGTGAAACAACGCCGAACCTTAAGCCCCGTTCTATTTTCTCTTTTTATTTATGAACTTGTAGCATATATATAATATATATGGTAAATGTGATCATGGTATATTTATAACAAAACACACGTTTAATATTATTGCATTTGTACTTGGTTCTGGTGGCAGATAGTGTTATTAAGCTGACAGTATAGTCATCTTCGGTCAGTGTTGTTCATTCTTCTTACTGAAGGAAATGTTTTACTCTTATTTACTTATATCCTTATACAAATGCCACTTAGGAACATTTTCAAATTGTTGTGGAATTCCATCATGGAATTTTGTGATGGACGGCTCTTTCAGTGGCACCAATCTGCTTTGTCACAGTCTCCGTGAAGAGCCAAGTACAAAAACAAACATGTATGAAAGGAAAGAATTAAGTTAATGACAATATTGTCGGCACAGAGATATGTACAAAGTTGATCAAACAAAATCCGATATTAATGGTATTGCAGATGTCAATCATAGACAAAGAAGCGGCCATTAGATTGAAGTCTGTGTAACCCCATATCTTGTTACGGCATATGTCTTCGCCGGCGACAATATATGTATATGCTAACGTTCACGGCACATATTGTCGGCATTCGTCAGAAAAAAACAACAAATACACTTGGAGATGACGATGTTGTTTATGATGATGGTCATGTTGATTATAATGATCATCATTTTTACATTTATAGAAAACATGTTTGACTTGATTTTTACCCAACCGACGGGGGGATATATATTCGTCAATATGCCAATTTGTCTGTGGCATCTATCTCGAACGCTTTACAATCTAGCTTCACGAAACTCCATACACTTATTGATCACATAGAGCACTGGTGCCTGTTGCTATTTGGAGATTTTCCAAAGTTGTATTTTGGAGAGTTCCACGTCAACTTTGAAAATTGACGGACAGTGTCATTTCTAAATGTCCATGTATTTCTAAAACTATACAACCCAGCATATTTCCTAAAATTACTTTAAAAAATTGTCTGCACTTGTTTTGCTGGTATTGATGCCTTTGAAATATTTAGCGTTTTTATAGTATTACTATTTTACTATTGCTGGGCGTGATCCAAAACTTATAAAGTGTAGGCCTACATGACAACTTCATAAGCTTATGAGTCAGGTGATGTATACATGCAGGGCATGTATATATGCCTTTGGATTCTGAGATGTATATTCCAAATTTTACTGTTTTTATTTGGAAGAAAGTTCTAAGCTTAACAGACAAAACCAATAATTGTGAAAATGTTTGAAATTGTATTTTGCAACATAATCTCCCTGCTTTCCACTACACTTCTCATATCAATAGTGAAGTTTTCTCCCTCCATACTCGCCAGCACACAAAGTCAGCGATCTTACCCTTCTGGGAGCAGTGCCAACTTGTCAGAGGGGCCCACAAATTACAGTACGTGATCTTCACTACCAGTCGTTTTAGTGGAAGCCTCGGTGGCTGAGTTGGTCAGATCGTTGACTTTTTGTGCTGGCGATTAGGTGCCTCACTCTGGCAGTGTGGGTTCGAATCCTGTGCGTGAATCTGTACTTCACTTTGAAAGTGTTATCCCAAATATAACATTTGTTACATTTGACCTCTTTCTAAATGTCATTGTGTGTTCAAACTCAAACAATGTACTACACTGACTAGTTCCCTTTGTTATGGCCCATAGATGAAAGTTAGTCAGGCTTATAACCTTATGACCAGCGCTAGTATCAGAGGTATGCTCCAACACTAGCCATTTCATAAGACAAAACAATTGTGGTTTCTGGTCGCAGAATAATATGTTAAGTTCAATTTGTATTTCAAAATAAAACAGTTTTGAGATCATATCCATTCTTTTAGAAGTAACAATTTCATCTAATTACTGTACACTGAAGGCCAATGAAAGTATAATGTACAGCTTCTTCCATAATGGTGTCCGCCTTAACAATATCCTGAGTCATTTAAAAATCAGTCATATCTATCTGCTTTCAAATCACTGCATCCCCGGCATATATCGTCGCCGGCGATAATATATGACCATCTGCGACAATACGTGCCGTGAACGTTGGCATATGTTGTCGTCAGCGACATAAAATTAATATACGCCCGAAGACAATATATGCCATAACACATCTGCTCACACATGAAATATTCTCCAATATATAGATAGTTTTCACATTGCTGGATCTTTATGCATCTGAACTGAATTTTTGAAGATTAGTGAAATAAAACACGAATATAAAGATAACATTTACCACATGGTGACGTCCTTACAAGTAACATTCTCAAACTTGAAGGGCGCCTGTCTGATCTACATGGTTCAACAAGACATTACTGCGAGGGTATACGAAGATTATTAAGAGGGAACGCGAGTGTATAGAGAGGGAACGGTATAGATAATTTATTTTATCTATGAACTTCTGTTCTTGTGTCCACTGTGTGGGTTAGGTATTTTGAGAAAAAAAATTATTTAGTAATTTGAAGGAAATTGTAATAAAATAATGATAATTTTATGTCCATCTAATGCATTTAAGCTCTCTATCTGAGTGGTATTTAGGATAAAATATACGTTCTGTTCATTACTAACCCCTCAATTCACAATAAGAAGATACGTTTGACTTAAGCAGGTGTCTGACAGAGAAAGTGAGATTGAAAAGTAGAACATGTGTAGGAGCTGTATTTCATCCCTTTGAAAAAGGACGTATATCCGCAACTTTGTCCCGCTCGGGGATATCCACTAGTCCATATGTCGTTGTTGTCCATGAGGGCGCCGTTAGTCCAGTAGAATTGCCCGTCACTGCTACTGCGGGTGATACCTACCCATATCGAATTTGCAAAGGACTTTCCTGAACTGCTCCTGTCTTTAAAGAAAGAGAAAGAGCAATTTCACTTTCTAATGAACCCCTGTAGTTTATATTGATCAAGGCATAATGTAAATGCAAATGATGGCAAGATGTGACAACCAGCGACGTTAACATAGAGCTATGATAGCTGAAATCATTCACAAAGAAAGAAGTGAGTGAGTGAGTATGGTTTAACGCCACTTAAAACTCTATTTCAGGTGTCTAACGGCGTGTCAACTTGATGTGGGAGGAAAGGCAGAAGGGTAGTAGTGTGGTGCTGACAAAACAAGACACACAATCAAACCCACAATCATAGGTGTCTAAGGAATGACGCCTTTTCAACAATTCATCGACCTCAATCGACCATTCTTTAATCCCCAAAATCCCGAAAATTTATAAAGTTTTGATTTTATTGGTGACAATTTAAACTTGAATGAAACAAACAAAATTAATTAAATCCGTTAATCAGGTACAGTAAGGTACGCTAAAGCTCTCAGATATCAATACATGGAAGCCTACCACATACTGTCTAGCAAGATACACGCTATTTCTGACAAAACAGTACCATTCCTGTATACTCACTATCTAGGAACATATTCACTGCGTCGAACCTTTCCTGTGTGTCCAGTGACGCCATATCGCCTCCATTCTGTATGCATGTTGTGCGTGCGGCATTCCAGTTTTTTCTGGTGTCATGGTATATGTACGTGACTGGTCCCGTAACCGAAGCTGCCGTAGTTGTAGTGGTAGTGGTTGTGGTGGTAGGCGTTGTAGTTGTAGTTGTGGTGGTAGGCGTTGTAGTTGTAGTGGTGGTGGTTGTGGTGGTAGGTGTTGTTGTAGTGGTGGTGGTAGGTGTTGTAGTTGTAGTGGAGGTGGTTGTGGTAGTAGGCGTTGTAGTTGTAGTTGTGGTGGTAGGTGTTGTAGTTGTAGTGGTGGTGATTGTGGTTGTTGCGGTAGAGGTTGGAGTTGTAGTTGTGGTGGTAGGTGTTTTAGTTGTAGTTGTGGTTGTAGTAGTGGGAAGTGTTGTAATGGTGGTGGTTGTGGTGGTAGGCGTTGTAGTTGTAGTTGTGGTGGTAGGCGTTGTAGTTGTAGTGGAGGTGGTTGTGGTGGTAGGCGTTGTAGTTGTAGTTGTGGTGGTAGGTGTTGTAGTTGTAGTGGTGGTGATTGTGGTTGTTGCGGTAGATGTTGGAGTTGTAGTTGTGGTGGTAGGTGTTTTAGTTGTAGTTGTCGTGGTTGTAGTAGTGGGAAGTGTTGTAGTGGTGGTGTTTGTGGTGGTAGGCGTTGTAGTTGTAGTTGTGGTGGTAGGCGTTGTAGTTGTAGTGGTGGTGGTTGTGGTGGTAGGTGTTGTTGTAGTGGTGGTGGTAGGTGTTGTAGTTGTAGTGGTGGTGGTTGTGGTGGTAGGCGTTGTAGTTGTAGTGGTGGTGGTTGTGGTGGTAGGTGTTTTAGTTGTGGTGGCTGTGGTTGTTGCGGTAGATGTTGGAGTTGTAGTTGTGGTGGTAGGTGTTTTAGTTGTAGTTGTCGTGGTTGTAGTAGTGGGAAGTGTTGTAGTGGTGGTGTTTGTGGTGGTAGGCGTTGTAGTTGTAGTTGTTGTGGTAGGCGTTGTAGTTGTAGTGGTGGCGGTTGTGGTGGTAGGTGTTGTTGAAGTGGTGGTGGCAGGTGTTGTAGTTGTAGTGGTGGTGGTTGTGGTGGTAGGCGTTGTAGTTGTAGTTGTGGTGGTAGGCGTTGTAGTTGTAGTGGTGGCGGTTGTGGTGGTAGGTGTTGTTGTAAAGGTGGTGGTAGGTGTTGTAGTTGTAGTGGTGGTGGTTGTGGTGGTAGGCGTTGTAGTTGTAGTGGTGGTGGTTGTGGTGGTAGGTGTTTTAGTTGTGGTGGCTGTGGTTGTTGCGGTAGATGTTGGAGTTGTGGTTGTGTTGGTAGGTGTTTTAGTTGTAGTTGTCGTGTTTGTAGTAGTGGGAAGTGTTGTAGTGGTGGTGGTTGTGGTGGTAGGCGTTGTAGTTGTAGTGGTGGTGGTTGTGGTGGTAGGTGTTGTTGTAGTGGTGGTGGTAGGTGTTGTAGTTGTAGTGGTGGTGGTTGTGGTGGTAGGCGTTGTAGTTGTAGTTGTGGTGGTAGGTGTTGTAGTTGTAGTGGTAGTGATTGTGGTTGTTGCGGTAGAGGTTGGAGTTTTAGTTGTGGTGGTAGGTGTTTTAGTTGTAGTTGTCGTGGTTGTAGTAGTGGGATGTGTTGTAGTGGTGGTGGTTGTTGCGGTAGGCGTTGTAGTTGTAGTTGTGGTGGTAGGCGTTGTAGTTGTAGTGGTGGTGGTTGTGGTGGTAGGTGTTGTTGTAGTGGTGGTGGTAGGTGTTGTAGTTGTAGTGGTGGTGGTTGTGGTGGTAGGCGTTGTAGTTGTGGTGGTAGGTGTTGTAGTTGTAGTGGTGGTGATTGTGGTTGTTGCGGTAGATGTTGGAGTTGTAGTTGTGGTGGTAGGTGTTTTAGTTGTAGTTGTCGTGGTTGTAGTAGTGGGAAGTGTTGTAGTGGTGGTGTTTGTGGTGGTAGGCGTTGTAGTTGTAGTTGTGGTGGTAGGCGTTGTAGTTGTAGTGGTGGTGGTTGTGGTGGTAGGTGTTGTTGTAGTGGTGGTGGTAGGTGTTGTAGTTGTAGTGGTGGTGGTTGTGGTGGTAGGCGTTGTAGTTGTAGTGGTGGTGGTTGTGGTGGTAGGTGCTTTAGTTGTGGTGGCTGTGGTTGTTGCGGTAGATGTTGGAGTTGTAGTTGTGGTGGTAGATGTTTTAGTTGTAGTTGTCGTGGTTGTAGTAGTGGGAAGTGTTGTAGTGGTGGTGGTTTTGGAGGTAGGCGTTGTAGTTGTAGTTGTTGTGGTAGGCGTTGTAGTTGTAGTGGTGGCGGTTGTGGTGGTAGGTGTTGTTGAAGTGGTGGTGGCAGGTGTTGTAGTTGTAGTGGTGGTGGTTGTGGTGGTAGGCGTTGTAGTTGTAGTTGTGGTGGTAGGCGTTGTAGTTGTAGTGGTGGCGGTTGTGGTGGTAGGTGTTGTTGTAAAGGTGGTGGTAGGTGTTGTAGTTGTAGTGGTGGTGGTTGTGGTGGTAGGCGTTGTAGTTGTAGTGGTGGTGGTTGTGGTGGTAGGTGTTTTAGTTGTGGTGGCTGTGGTTGTTGCGGTAGATGTTGGAGTTGTGGTTGTGTTGGTAGGTGTTTTAGTTGTAGTTGTCGTGTTTGTAGTAGTGGGAAGTGTTGTAGTGGTGGTGGTTGTGGTGGTAGGCGTTGTAGTTGTAGTGGTGGTGGTTGTGGTGGTAGGTGTTGTTGTAGTGGTGGTGGTAGGTGTTGTAGTTGTAGTGGTGGTGGTTGTGGTGGTAGGCGTTGTAGTTGTAGTTGTGGTGGTAGGTGTTGTAGTTGTAGTGGTAGTGATTGTGGTTGTTGCGGTAGAGGTTGGAGTTTTAGTTGTGGTGGTAGGTGTTTTAGTTGTAATTGTCGTGGTTGTAGTAGTGGGAAGTGTTGTAGTGGTGGTGGTTGTTGCGGTAGGCGTTGTAGTTGTAGTTGTGGTGGTAGGCGTTGTAGTTGTAGTGGTGGTGGTTGTGGTGGTAGGTGTTGTTGTAGTGGTGGTGGTAGGTGTTGTAGTTGTAGTGGTGGTGGTTGTGGTGGTAGGCGTTGTAGTTGTGGTGGTAGGTGTTGTAGTTGTAGTGGTGGTGATTGTGGTTGTTGCGGTAGATGTTGGAGTTGTAGTTGTGGTGGTAGGTGTTTTAGTTGTAGTTGTCGTGGTTGTAGTAGTGGGAAGTGTTGTAATGGTGGTGGTTGTGGTGGTAGGCGTTGTAGTTGTAGTGGTGGTGGTTGTGGTGGTAGGTGTTGTTGTAGTGGTGGTGGTAGGTGTTGTAGTTGTAGTGGTGGTGGTTGTGGTGGTAGGCGTTGTAGTTGTAGTTGTGGTGGTAGGTGTTGTAGTTGAAGTGGTGGTGATTGTGGTTGTTGCGGTAGATGTTGGAGTTGTAGTTGTGGTGGTAGGTGTTTTAGTTGTAGTTGTCGTGGTTGTAGTAGTGGGAAGTGTTGTAGTGGTGGTGGTTGTGGTGGTAGGCGTTGTAGTTGTAGTTGTGGTGGTAGGCGTTGTAGTTGTAGTGGAGGTGGTTGTGGTGGTAGGCGTTGTAGTTGTAGTTGTGGTGGTAGGTGTTGTAGTTGTAGTGGTGGTGATTGTGGTTGTTGCGGTAGATGTTGGAGGTGTAGTTGTGGTGGTAGGTGTTTTAGTTGTAGTTGTCGTGGTTGTAGTAGTGGGAAGTGTTGTAGTGGTGGTGGTTGTGGTGGTAGGCGTTGTAGTTGTAGTTGTGGTGGTAGGCGTTGTAGTTGTAGTGGTGGTGGTTGTGGTGGTAGGTGTTGTTGTAGTGGTGGTGGTAGGTGTTGTAGTTGTAGTGGTGGTGGTTGTGGTGGTAGGCGTTGTAGTTGTAGTGGTGGTGGTTGTGGTTGTGGTGGTAGGTGTTTTAGTTGTGGTGGCTGTGGTTGTTGCGGTAGATGTTGGAGTTGTAGTTGTGGTGGTAGGTGTTTTAGTTGTAGTTGTCGTGGTTGTAGTAGTGGGAAGTGTTGTAGTGGTGGTGGTTGTGGTGGTAGGCGTTGTAGTTGTAGTTGTGGTGGTAGGCGTTGTAGTTGTAGTGGTGGCGGTTGTGGTGGTAGGTGTTGTTGTAAAGGTGGTGGTAGGTGTTGTAGTTGTAGTGGTGGTGGTTGTGGTGGTAGGCGTTGTAGTTGTAGTGGTGGTGGTTGTGGTGGTAGGTGTTTTAGTTGTGGTGGCTGTGGTTGTTGCGGTAGATGTTGGAGTTGTGGTTGTGTTGGTAGGTGTTTTAGTTGTAGTTGTCGTGTTTGTAGTAGTGGTGGTTGTGGTGGTAGGCGTTGTAGTTGTAGTGGTGGTGGTTGTGGTGGTAGGTGTTGTTGTAGTGGTGGTGGTAGGTGTTGTAGTTGTAGTGGTGGTGGTTGTGGTGGTAGGCGTTGTAGTTGTAGTTGTGGTGGTAGGCGTTGTAGTTGTAGTGGTGGTTGTTGTGGTGGTAGGTGTTGTTGAAGTGGTGGTGGTAGGCGTTGTAGTTGTAGTGGTGGTGGTTGTGGTGGTAGGCGTTGTAGTTGTACTTGTGGTGCTAGGTGTTGTAGTTGTAGTGGTTGTGATTGTGGTTGTTGCGGTAGAGGTTGGAGTTGTAGTTGGGGTGGTAGGTGTTTTAGTTGTAGTTGTCGTGGTTGTAGTAGTGGGAAGTGTTGTAGTGGTGGTGGTTGTGGCGGTAGGCGTTGTAGTTGTAGTTGTGGTGGTAGGCGTTGTAGTTGTAGTGGTGGTGGTTGTGGTGGTAGGTGTTGTTGTAGTGGTGGTGGTAGGTGTTGTAGTTGTAGTGGTGGTGGTTGTGGTGGTAGGCGTTGTAGTTGTAGTTGTGGTGGTAGGTGTTGTAGATGTAGTGGTGGTGATTGTGGTTGTTGCGGTAGATGTTGGAGTTGTAGTTGTGGTGGTAGGTGTTTTAGTTGTAGTTGTCGTGGTTGTAGTAGTGGGAAGTGTTGTAGTGGTGGTGGTTGTGGTGGTAGGCGTTGTAGTTGTAGTTGCGGTGGTAGGCGTTGTAGTTGTAGTGGTGGTGGTTGTGGTGGTAGGTGTTGTTGTAGTGGTGGTGGTAGGTGTTGTAGTTGTAGTTGTAGTGGTGGTGGTTGTGGTGGTAGGCGTTGTAGTTGTAGTGGTGGTGGTTGTGGTGGTCGGTGTTTTAGTTGTGGTGGCTGTGGTTGTTGCGGTAGATGTTGGAGTTGTAGTTGTGGTGGTAGGTGTTTTAGTTGTAGTTGTCGTGGTTGTAGTAGTGGGAAGTGTTGTAGTGGTGGTGGTTGTGGTGGTAGGCGTTGTAGTTGTAGTTGTGGTGGTAGGCGTTGTAGTTGTAGTGGTGGTGGTTGTGGTGGTAGGTGTTGTTGTAGTGGTGGTGGTAGGTGTTGTAGTTGTGGTGGCTGTGGTTGTTGCGGTAGATGTTGGAGTTGTAGTTGTGGTGGTAGGTGTTTTAGTTGTAGTTGTCGTGGTTGTAGTAGTGGGAAGTGTTGTAGTGGTGGTGGTTGTGGTGGTAGGCGTTGTAGTTGTAGTTATGGTGGTAGGTGTTGTAGTTGTAGTGGTGGTGGTTGTGGTGGTAGGTGTTGTAGTGGTGGTGGTAGGTGTTGTAGTTGTAGTGGTGGTGGTTGTGGTGGTAGGTGTTTTAGTTGTGGTGGCTGTGGTTGTTGCTGTAGATGTTGGAGTTGTAGTTGTGGTGGTAGGTGTTTTAGTTGTAGTTGTCGTGGTTGTAGTAGTGGGAAGTGTTGTAGTGGTGGTGGTGGTGGTGGTAGGCGTTGTAGTTGTAGTTGTGGTGGTAGGCGTTGTAGTTGTAGTGGTGGTGGTTGTGGTGGTAGGTGTTGTTGTAGTGGTGGTGGTAGGTGTTGTAGTTGTAGTGGTGGTGGTTGTGGTGGTAGGCGTTGTAGTTGTAGTGGTGGTGGTTGTGGTGGTAGGTGTTTTAGTTGTGGTGGCTGTGGTTGTTGCGGTAGATGTTGGAGTTGTAGTTGTGGTGGTAGGTGTTTTAGTTGTAGTTGTCGTGGTTGTAGTAGTGGGAAGTGTTGTAGTGGTGGTGGTTGTGGTGGTAGGCGTTGTAGTTGTAGTTGTGGTGGTAGGCGTTGTAGTTGTAGTGGTGGTGGTTGTGGTAGTAGGTGTTGTTGAAGTGGTGGTGGTAGGCGTTGTAGTTGTAGTGCTGGTGGTTGTTGCGGTAGATGTTGGAGTTGCAGTTGTGGTAGTAGGTGTTTTAGTTGTATTTGTCGTGGTTGTAGTAGTGGGAAGTGTTGTAGTGGTGGTGGTTGTGGTGGTAGGCGTTGTAGTTGTAGTGGTGGTGGTTGTGATGGTAGGTGTTGTTGTAGTGGTGGTGGTAGGTGTTGTAGTTGTGGTGGCTGTGGTTGTTGCGGTAGATGTTGGAGTTGTAGTTGTGGTGGTAGGTGTTTTAGTTGTAGTTGTCGTGGTTGTTGTAGTGGGAAGTGTTGTAGTGGTGGTGGTTGTGGTGGTAGGCGTTGTAGTTGTAGTTATGGTGGTAAGCGTTGTAGTTGTAGTGGTGGTGGTTGTGATGGTAGGTGTTGTTGTAGTGGTGGTGGTAGGTGTTGTAGTTGTAGTGGTGGTGGTTGTGGTGGTAGGTGTTTTAGTGGTGGTGATTGTGGTTGTTGCGGTAGAGGTTGGAGTTGTAGTTGGGGTGGTAGGTGTTTTAGTTGTAGTTGTCGTGGTTGTAGTAGTGGGAAGTGTTGTAGTGGTGGTGGTTGTGGTGGTAGGCGTTGTAGTTGTAGTTGTGGTGGAAGGCGTTGTAGTTGTAGTGGTGGTGGTTGTGGTGGTAGGTGTTGTTGTAGTGGTAGTGGTAGGTGTTGTAGTTGTAGTGGTGGTGGTTGTGGTGGTAGGCGTTGTAGTTGTAGTTGTGGTGGTAGGTGTTGTAGTTGTAGTGGTGGTGGTTGTGGTGGTAGGCGTTGTAGTTGTAGTGGTGGTGGTTGTGGTGGTAGGTGTTTTAGTTGTGGTGGCTGTGGTTGTTGCGGTAGATGTTGGAGTTGTAGTTGTGGTGGTAGGTGTTTTAGTTGTAGTTGTCGTGGTTGTAGTAGTGGGAAGTGTTGTAGTGGTGGTGGCTGTTGTTCTTGCAGCAGTTGTTGTAGCAGCAGTTGTTGGGGCAGCAGTTATGGTTGGAGTTGTTTGATCTAAACAGAAATGTTATTATTATATAATACTTCAGTGTAAAAGACATAACACTTGATATTTCACTGCAGTGAACATAACACTTGATATTTCACTGCAGTGAGCATAACAATTTGACGGAGCTATTGTCATACAAAAGTTACCTCCCCTTACATTGTCTCCCTTTGTCGTAAGTGACATGTCATACATAAATTGATGACGTTCTTTTTACGTTAGGTCCACATTGATAAGGCAAAATAATGACCGACGGTCGTTTTTTCAAGTTAAAATCTTTTCTTGCCGTTTGTTATTCTCTCGAAAATGTTTCTTTAGAAACTGTAAATTTCTCATTTCACTCATAAATCGAGACTGTTCGTTTCGCAAAGGGTCATTTTTGTTACTTGACCAGCGTATATTCTTTCGCTTCCAATAGCTAGCGGTCTCCTAGTTTTCAAGAATATTTTTTTTGTAAAAGTTGATTTTGTATATAATCATACCTAAATGATTGATAAAGAATTTTCGCGACACTAAATATTTGCAAATATGAAACTACTTTTTAAGTAGCAAATACAAGGGTTAGTGAACCATCCCTGGGTTAGATAGGTAGAATTTACGTTTCAAGGTTTTACATTTGTGATGAAATAATTAAATTTTCTGGTGGACAAGTACACAAAAAGTGATATTCCATGTGAGAAACATGATATTTCACTCGACACATGAAATATCCTCTATATAGTTTGTTTGAGGTAGAGGTTTGTAAAAGAAAAATATATATCTTTTTCAAGAACTCCACTGCATTCACGGTTTTTCGTTTACTATAATTCTGTCATACATGGGCAATTGAATACAATTAGGAGGTAAACATAGTGTGTTTTTAATGTAGAGCTAGATTAAACTGAGGATTGTCCTTAACCTGCATGAGACATATATTTTTACTCTACAACCACAAAGATGGTAAACATTATTTGTTTATACCATCTGTCCTGGGAGACTAAACATAAAACGTCTGCGACAGAGAATCAATATTAAATAATGATTTAACCAGGTTTTCGCGAAAAGGTTAGCGAATCCTGCTCAATCGATGGTACCGAACATAAACACATACAAATACAAGTCAGTTGGTCACCTGGATAAACACAGGAACATATGGCATAAGTACAAAATAACATCGGATATATTTTTTGTCACTGTTGCGTCAATTTGGAAATGTCCTCCTCGTGTCTTCCATAAACTATTTTGAAAGCTTTACTGGGCTACATTGAACGGTATAAGATAATCGATATATCTGTAGCGTCAGTTAAACATCTTGGCAAACGTCCCTGGTGGCCAATCCGAGCAGAGAGTCTGGCCCGTATGCATAGAGACACAAATCAGCAAGGAGTGATACACAACTGTTGCCCATGGGGTTGCCTACTCTTTTCCTAAATGTCCAGTCCGCAGATTTTAAATAGTATTTCACAACGTGGTTCTAAGTAAACTTCAGATGCGATTTGCTTTCATTTTTGACAAATTGTCCTGAACAGTTGAGAACAGAGATATACCTATATCTATTGTTTCCACGTTTAGTGACAAATGCCCCATAGACCGAGGATTTTTTCCCTTAATGCTGTCAATGCTACTGTCGAACCCAAACAAAATCCGAAAAGTATGGACACCTCGGAAATGAGGGCTTTTAAAGTTATAAAATTCTATCTAACTTGTGAGAGGATTTGACGTTGGTCTATCAAAGAAAAACCTTATAAATTTGTTTAAAAAAATTATGATATTTAAAATTTCAAGCACAAAATTAAAGATTATTCAAGGAAAGACAAATGTGTTGTTTTTTTGTTAATGATAATGATAAGGACCTATACTGACTGGATATTCAGAAACCCATCAAATGATCAAGGATGTCAGATCCAAAGCTGGTGATGATCTGCATTTATTTTGATCACATTGACCGATAGACGAAAATCTGTTGATCTCAATAGTTCATGTTCCTTCAGGGGAGATGCCCCCAAGACCTCGATAAATCCACATGTAAAAACACCATGGTATAATGATGATTGTAGAAAAGCTAGGACAAATAGGAAAAAGTCTGAAAGAGTGTTTAATAAACACCCCACAGCCAATAATTTAAACTTCTTACGAATGTCAATAGCAAAGGCTCGTAGAACAATTAAACAAAATAAACGTACAAGCAGGAAAAAGTTTGTTTCGAAAATAAATTCTCGTACCCCCCTGAATAAAGTATGGAATATGATAAGAAAGATAAAAGGAAAGGGGTCTCAGAACAATATTCAGCATCTACAATCTAATCATGATGTATTGACATCGAAACAGGATATTGCAAATAAGTTGGCAGAAACGTTCAGCCAAAATTCCTCATCTGCCAACTATGACCCAAAATGTCAAAAATGTCAAAATCAGCAGGAAAGGAAAATTCTGAATTTTCGGTCTGATAATTCAGAGGATTACAATGAATCCTTTTCCTTAACAGAGTTACAAGAGGCTTTGAACAAGGCTCATGATACAGCTTCTGGGCCTGATGAGATACATTATCAATTTTTGAAACATCTTCCTGAGCCTTCTCTTTTAACCCTTTTATCCATATTTAATAGTATATGGGAAAATGGTAACTTCCCTCCTTCCTGGCATGAGGCTACTATAATACCTGTGCCTAAACCAGGTAAGGATCACACAGATTCTTCTAATTACAGACCTATTGCTCTGACAAGTTGTCTCTGTAAAACCATGGAACGGACGATTAACCGGCGTCTCGTTTGGTTTCTTTAATCAAATAATCTGATCACAGACATTCAGTGTGGTTTTAGACACCAGAGGAGCACCATCGATCATCTTGTCCGATTGGAATCATTTGTACGGAATGGCTTTGTACACAAACAGCATGTTGTGTCGATCTTTTTTGATCTTGAGAAGTGGAAGTATGGTATATTACAAGATCTCCACGACATGGGTATACGTTGCCGTATGCCTGACTTCATCACTCGCTTTTTAGAAGATAGAAAATTTAAAGTTAGAGTAGGCTCCACATTGTCCGAGATATATGATCAGGAAATGGGCGTCCCACAGGGCAGTATTTTATCAGTGACACTTTTTAGCATAAAAATCAACAGTCTTGCTAAAGTTTTAAATGAAAATATTGATGGTTCGTTGTTTGTTGACGATTTTAATGTTTCATGCCGTGGTGCAAATATGAATACCATTGAGAGACAGTTACAACTTTTTCTCAATAAAATACAGAAATGGGCCTTAGAAAATGGTTTTAAATTTTCCAAAACTAAAACCTGCTGTGTTCATCTTTGCAACAAACGGAAACTGCATAAAGATCCAGAACTGACTTTAAATAATATTCCAATAAAAGTGGTCACAGAAACCAAGTTTTTGGGTATTACCTTTGATCAAAAGTTATCATTTATACCTCACATTAAAAATCTTAAAGCTAGATGTTTGAAAGCACTTGACATTTTAAAGGTAGTGTCAGATACTAGGTGGTGTGGTGATAGAGAAACACTATTACATCTCTATAGAACTTTGATAAGGTCTAAACTTGATTACGGCTGCTTCATTTATGGTTCAGCTCGTAAATCATACATTCAAGTACTTGACACCATCAGGGACTTCGGTTGTGTTTTGGAGCATTTAGGACATCGCCAATTGACAGTCTATATGTGGAA